GGGAGGCTGACAGTAAAGAAGTAAACAAAACAAAACATTTCTACTTTAATACTCAGCCTATCTTTAGTGCTGTCCCTAGCAGGTTCAATGCTCCTTGCTCCAGCATCAGTCTTCTTAGGTTTGAATGACACCCAGCATCAGTCCTATTCTGGTTTGAATGACACCCAGCATCAATAAATCCACTTTCTATGATCCCAAGGTGTCAGGAGCAAGCCCCTCGGCGATGTGTCAAAAGCCCCCTGAGCTCAAAGGAGAATGCTGCAGAGAATGGGCCACGTCATTATGTGGCGTAGTTCTCTGCAGCATGAAAGACCTGCCCACTACCAAAAACAAAAGAGGAAGAAGAGGACCTTGTGCAAGTATTCATATCAACTCTGCAAAAACACATTACCGGACACAAGTACTTACCCCAGCCTTCCCAGCATCTCTATACGAGGGACCTCTGGACCATGCGTGTCTATATTAATCGGCTGATAATGATACAAAGCATTTTCCAGCTTTAAAAAGCAATCAACATTTTTAATATATATCAATATATATATACCAGTAACCAACTTTTTAACAAACTGGGTGACTGGTCCCACCCACTCACTCCACTGCAATGTGTTGACTGACAGTGCAGCTCATTCAGGAACGGCAATGACGATTCAATTATGTCATGGCTTAGCAAGTAAATGGAGGCTTGGGGTACAGTAGGAGCTGTTGTTTTGCCTCTAGCTGTGCCATGTCCCATAGATGACCGCTCCATGCCTTTCCTCACTGTTCTACAGCAGCTAGAACTATCTGCTCTGACTCCCGTCCACTGCTAATGCCCTCGTCATCTGGCCATAGGTCAGCCAACGAGGAAGCAACTCTTGTGCAGGGGCAGATCCAGAGTCTAGTCTCGGGCATTGCCAGAAAATAAGGTGTTGCTTATAGAACAGAATATTGTAATAATACTTTATGTTGTAGGTTTTTGTTATGTATGACAGCAATTGTGCCTTTGTTTGTCCCACACATCGTGACACTTTTGTAAACAGGAATGGATATTCTGCCAAACATTTGGCACATTACTGTCATCAAAATGGGTCTGTCGTTCACACTACAGATTACTGTGTTTTATTGATGTGGTGGTTTGTGATACACATGGTCCAGGCACAGTGTGAGGGATGGAGGACCCCAGATTGAAGGATGGGGGGCCCGGCAACCTGCAATGTCGGCTGTTACCGGGGGCCCCTTCCTCCTGTCCATGCCCCCCAAGTGGCAGAATGCTAGGGCCCGGCCGCAGCTGCAACTGCTGTGACCCTGGTAGTTCTGCCACAGTACAGAAGACTACAAATCCCAGCAATTTATTATACAGCAATGCAGAATACCATCATCTATAGAGGACTACAAATCACAGAAATACATTATACAGCAATGCAGAATACCATAATCTATAGAGGACTGGTGATGGGGTCCCATATACTGGCCTTTGGTGCCAGGGAGCACTAGGCCAGTCCCCAGGCACACTGGTAGCACATGGCCGACATGCCCCTTATTGATGAGCTACTCCTAAATGTTCATAAAAATTTCCCCACATCCCCCTGCGATAACTGCCCCGTTGCCCCTGGATCCGCCACTGACTTGACCTTTAATCCCAGCTATGGGGTACATGGGATAGATCCTGAAATCATCTCTGAATTAATACCAACACTGTCCTTCCTTCTGAAGGGTGGCAACCATTGTTCCCCATGGTCCCTGTGTGTGTTGTAAAGTAGCCATCGCTCCAAGTTCACTTCCATGATTGACTATAATCTCATTACAAATTAGTAAACTAAACATCAGATTGTAGTCCATCACGGAGTGACCTTGGAGTGGTGGCCAATAATTTTTTCGACAAATTGAGATGACACCTATAGTACTTTATCTTTGTTAAATCTTCCTATTCACATTGTATAACTTAAAAAGATTTAGAAATTGATTACATTTTTAAGTGCTTTTAACTTGCTTTAAAAATCTACCAAGCTCCCCTTCTATGTAATGTTAAGGAGGGGCTATGGGAAGTTGTTCAAGCCTGTCTGTGCTGTGCTGGCAGATTTAATTAAAATTAGTAAACTAGATTTTAAAACCCCTGGCCCTAACAAAAGGTTTAAAACTTAGAAGCATTGTATACTAATAAGAGGAAGCTCATTTAGTCCCTTTCACTTTCAAACTGCTCAGAGTGGCCTGGAATCTGCACAAAGACCTTCACCAAAGAAGCATCTAAAAAGGTAAGAAATATATTTGATGAAATATTTTTTCGGTATGCTGTGTAAATGGGAACACAAACATATAGTGGGGGTTTTCTCAAATTTGGCTGCAAAAGTGGAAATACACTTTACATTTTTTTTTTCTGGTTCAGTGTGGTGCCTTAATCGCAATCTGAGGAGCCATGCTAAATTAAGATTTCTATAAGGCTGTATTCACACCTAGGTGTCAGCGTTTTTGCCTAGCATATTTTGCTAGTTTTTGCGCATTTGTTGCCCATTTTTACACTAGCTAGACGCGCGCATATGAAGATGCGAGTTTTGACTGGCAGATCAAAACTATTGCAGTCAATGGGGAAACGCGCATAAAAAGGCTCATAAATACATGGGTCTTGCGTTTTTCTATTGAAGTCTATGGGGCCAAACGGGCGCAAAAACGCCCTAAAGAAACTCAGGTACATTTTTGAGCGACAGGCAATTTGTGGCTTGTGACAAAACAACTAGGGGTGAATGAGAGCCATTGAAATTAATGGGAATTTAGTTGCTGAGCGTTTTGTCACACATAAATATGCGCAATCAAAATGCCTGGGTGTGAATGTGGCTTAAACATACTTGGCACCAGGAATCCTAGAACACCATCTTGTTATCAATACAAAGGACTATGTTAAAAAAAGCTTTATTAGAAATCTGCTAAATGATTCTGAAAAGAATTACAATAAATCACTAACAATTTTGGATACACTAATAAAACTGAAGTAATATCACATAATGGGAAAAAAATAAGCAGTTCTTAAATTATGTTTGCAAAGCTGTTAAGAAAATGTGAAGCAATTAAGAAGAGATTTAATCTCTCAACAGTAATATTAGACACAAAGTCTCCAAGCCAATTTTGTTAATGATAACAATCAATAAGCTCATAAAGGCTCTACTGTGCTTAGTAATTACATTTTGAGGTGGGAAAAACCATATGCTGTATATATTTACAATATTGAAGAGGTTTGTCTACCAGAAAAGTAGCAGAAAGTAGCACATTGGACAAAGTAGGGCTATGCCTAAGTCTTCAGCTTCATGCTTCTATCTGCAACACATTTGCCACATTGTATGAAGAATACACAGCTTTGCTGTATGAACCAGCTGCTGGCAAACTGCTGTGCAAACCCACTTCAATAACATCCAACTATAGATTTATCATTGAGATCACATGTACTGTTTCTCTATTTAATTTTTTCCAAGCCCCGATGAACCGAGTGGAGGTACAGCCCCAAAGTGCGTTGGCTGTGCAAATAGTTTATAATTCGTATAAACTTGAGTTTGGACATGAATATTGGGGTGTGATGTAGTACTCAATAGCATTAACACATCAGACTTTGCGCAATTTTGCTTTGAAAATCATGCGGTTGCCAATGCATACAAATGTCTATGGGACCCAAATCGCGCAACAACCGCCCGAAAAAAGCTCCTGTACCTTTTTGCGCGACAAGAGATTTCTACCGCGTGACAAATTGCAAAGGTGTGAAGAGCTTCCATAGACTTGAATGCAAATGTCTGTTTTGTGCGATATCGTGCGGCTAAATCGGTGTGAACCTAGCCTCAAATGTGAGGAAGATCCCATCTTCGATAGTCGTCACTGGTCAAATAGGAAGATTTTCCTCTATTCCTGTTCTGGTGGCAACTTAAAATTTTGGATTTACCCTGACGTTTCATTGCCGTTTATACTGGTGATCAGGACAATTAGAGAGTGTGATCTCTGTAACAGGGAAACAAACAACAACAGAAATCTCAAAGTAACTCTGACCTCTCACCACTATCCAGATTTAAAATACAAATTTACTTTAGTTATACTTTAAATGTTAATTTTTAGGGACGCACCGATATCGATTCTAGTATCGGTATCCGTGCCGATGCCGAGTACTCGTACTTGCCCAAATGCTTGGATGCCTAGACCAATACTTCCTGTATCAGGAAGCCGGGCAGCGAGTCATTACATGCCACCCGGCTTCCTGATTGCCGGCTCCATGCTCCCTCGTCACTTATAATGTGCCACGTGTAATGACTCACTGCCCGGCTTCCTGATTGGTCAAGAAGCTGGTTTTCTGAATGGCCAGGAAGCCGGCTTCATGCTTCGTCACCTCATGACAAGGGAGCATGGAGCCGGCTTCCCGGCCAATTAGGAAGCCGGGCACCGCGCCATTATACGGCACCCGGCTTCCTGATTGGCCAGAAAGCCAGCTGCATGCTTTCTCGTCACCTAGTGACGAGAAGCACGGAGACGGCTTACCTGCTAATCGGGAAGCCGGGTGGCAAGTTATTACACGCGGCCTAGCTTCCCCTTTATGGGACTTCCGGTATCGGTATTAGCGAGTACCGGGAAAAAAAATATCAGTACTCGTACTCTATACCAAAATACCAGTATCAGTGCATCCCCATTACTTTTTATGTAGCCGTTTTTTACTTTTTGTGCAAAAAAAAATAAGAATGAGGTTACATTGTTCAGTACCAGATCGGGTCTTAGGGTCTTGTATCATTCCATAACCTCCAAGACATTAATTTCGTCTTCTCCATCAACTCAAATGCATGGCGAATATTCACTAAAATCTCTCTTCATTGCCAACATTTTAGAAAAATGTATATCTTTCATCCCCTACCATGGGAGAATAGAGATGTTTTTTCTGGTCATCTTACTTTTCAGGTGAGAAATACTCCATGTACAAGGTCCCTTTGTGTACCCCTTTGCCTGTTACAAACACAAAAAATATGAGGAGGAGAATTTATCAAAACTGGAGCAGACAGAATCTGGAGCATTTGCCCATAGTAACCAATCAGCTTCTCGCTTTCATTTTAAAATTGTAACTGAACAAACTGAAGAGAGACGCTGATTGGTTGCCCTAGGAAACTGCTCCAGATTTTGTCTGCTCCAGTTTTGATAAATTCCCCTCAGAGTGTTTTAAATTTCACTTTGATGTGAAAGAAAACCTACTAAAGTAATAAGACAACAACAAGGAAGTGCTCTGCATTGCCAAGGATCATTAGATATGCTGTCTTTATGTGTAACTGACATGACGAATTATCTAATTGGCTTTGAAGACGGCACAGGGCACTGCTGGACTAGAAGCCTGCAGGGGGCACTCAATCACCAGTCTACCTCAATGACATCATGAGATTCAATGTCAGATTTAGGCCGTGTATACATTAGAAACAGAGAAAAGCAGGTAGGTTACTTACAAAACAAAACCAACCAGACCTAGTAAAGAGATCTGCAAGTCATGCAACAGTAAAACCACTCAGGTTAT